AGGGTGGCTGGTGTGGCCCACAGGCGTGTGGCCACGGTGTGGCCATCACGTTGCCCCACGGTGTCTGGCCAGGGAGCGGTGCGCACCTGGGAACCTTGGCGGGCTGAAGGCCTCAGGCGTACCCAACGTATGTGGAACATTCATTCACACCCCCACACTCACCATGAGCAGGCTTGCTCATACACCGGGAGTGATAATGGCGGGCGATACAACATGGCGGACACGGCAAGGTGGATTTTCAAAGTCCAACAGGGCCTGTAATTTCCCAAATATTACGCTCCCATGAACACTAGATAGCCCTGCCTAATTCTACCACTTGCCAGTTATCTTAGAGGAGACAACTCATCAGATGTGAGCAACCACATCTGATACACCACGAGGCATGCCTGGGGCCTCATGGTTGAGCACATGTCTTTAGAGTTATTACACAGTTCCTTCCTTACTCCGTGGCACAAGATCACGCAAATTGGATCCAGACATGATCCACGATGGCAGGATTACTGTGCGCGATGAGTAATAAGGATAACACAACGATTAACAGTGGTGGAGGTGGCAGACACGCCACCCCCACCTCCTGAGCATCCAGCCCGCTTGATCCCGCCTCTAGACTGAAGATTTGACTGGCCAGGGAAACACAAAATGCCCGTCTCCCCCCACCTTGTCTTGACCAATCAAAGCAAAGCCGGCACAGCCAATCGTGCCGCTTCCAATTACAGCCGTTCGCGCCTAAACATCACCTCGAGGCTGAGATGCCTAGACGAATCACAGACGAGATGCCTTGAGGCGTCCCAAGACGTCATAAGGCTGGGGAGGCCTAGGTTTGGGAGGTGACGTTCACCTCTCTGTCCCCCCACCTCTAAAACCGTTGGCTAGTAAAGTACCCACCTGCACCTCACACTCTCAAGTCCTATTTCCCAGAAAACAGGATTCTGTAACTCTCTCTACAGAGCAGTGACAGACTCATGACTAGGCTTAAAAGATAGCCCTAAGCATAAGCTTTCAACCAACATCACACAAGTGCATGTAGTTTGAAAACTTCTTGTCTAGAGTTCACCCTACACTCTAGCCTAATCTAGAAACTAGAAAACTAGCTGAGGGAATTTCCATTCCCTCACAAGGTTTACCCAATTCTGTTGAAGGAGTAGTCAAGGGCTGCCCTCTACTGATGAAGGAGTGGTCAAGGGCTACCCTCTACTGATGAAGGAGTGGTCAAGGGCTACCCTCTACTGATGAAGGAGTGGTCAAGGGCTACCCTCTACTGATGAAGGAGTGGTCAAGGGCTACCCTCTACTGATGAAGGAGTTGTCAAGGGCTACCCTCTACTGATGAAGGAGTGGTCAAAGGCTACCCACTAATGATGAAGGAGTGATCAAGGGCTATCCACTACTGATGAAGGAGTGGTCAAGGGCTACCCACTACTGATGAAGGAGTCATTAATAGTTACTCACTGCCGTTGAAGGAGTGGTCAAGGGCTATCCACTACAGTTTAAGGACTGGTGATTGGCTACCAACTTCTGACTTAGGAGTGATCAAGGGCTACCAACTTGTTTTGAAAGACTTGTCAAGGGCCACCTACTATTATGGAAGGTGCAGGAAAGGGGTTCACACAACTGTTTAAGAAGCAGCCAATAGGTACCTAATTCTAATGAAGGAGTGGTGAAGGGCTACCCACTAATGATGAAGGAGTAGCGAAAGGATTCTCTTTACTGCTGGTGTTGGTGTCAAGGGCTACCTATTACTGTTGGTGTAGGTTCAATGGGGATACATTACTGTTTATATAGGGGGTCACTAAGTACCCACTGCAGTTGGTTTTGGGTCAGTGGGTACCTAGTACTGTTGGTATAGGGATCACTGTGTACCCTCTATTGTTAGTGTAGGGTCAAGGGTTACCCGGTACTAGAAGCGACGAGATCGGACACCACCGAGTGCTGGTGTTGTAACCTAACTTCCCAAAGTACTTGGCATTTTAATAATTTTGTGTTAAATATTATTTCAAACTTATTGTTAAGGAAGTGAATTTCGCATATGTCTCGAGACTAAGTAAGGCACTAGTTTACCACTAGAATTGGAAACAACGTCTCCCACTCCCCTAATCAGTACATCATGAGAATCCAAAATTCTCGACATCAAATAAAAATTCAATGAAGGTTTGTATATAGAGGTTGTTTACGTCTAGTCATGATCAGTAATGTAGTCATTAAAATGCATTTGTCGTAGAGAAAATATGAATACTGTTTTTAATGCATATTCAAAAGATAAATAAATAATGAATCGCAAATAATCTTAGGACAATGGTAGATGTTCCATTTGTGTTTATGGATTACATACAGGTGGTTCTTAAAAACCTCTTTAAACAAGAAATGTTACTTACTAGTTCAAAAATTACAAATAAATCATTAAGATTCCAGAATATTTTATAAAATATTGCTTAAGGAGGAGAGACTCACTTCAAAATACTGTAAAGGATGTTAAACCACAGAAAAGTCTACGGTATTCTAGATCACCAAAACAGAAGTGTGGAAGACCAGTTGCAGAACTCTGGGTTCCGGAGAGATAGTGCAAGCAGTAATTGGCACGCTGTTTGGCCAAGGGTTCACAAGAGGACATGTCCCTAGAGGCTCCAGCAGCTTAATAGTAGCTGTGTGGTTGATGGCAGTCTTCATCTTGGGTACAGCTTACCGCAGTAACCTCACTGCCTCCCTCACGCAACCCAGCTACCCTCCACGACCGGAGAATGTGGAAGGCCTCGTCAGGGAAATAGAGAGGTGAGACTATGATGTTCACTGTACGGAATTTATGATATGACCCAAATTCTGTTGTGCACTTCATGCAACGTTCATACCATATTAAATTGGAACATTTTATTAAGTAATACACACATGTTTAGTACATTTACACTTGTATAACGTGAACACGTATTTACTGATTTTTTTATTTGTTTGCCATTTATTTAATAAAAAATGTGTATTGAAGTTTAAATTTAATATTTCAACTTATTGACATATTTTATATAAGATATAAAAATAATTATTATGTTTATTATCATATATATATGTATGTATATATATATATATATATATATATATATATATATATATATATATATATATATATATATATATATATATATATATATATATATATATATATATATATATATATATATATATATATATATATATATATATATATATATATATATATATATATATATGCGAACAAGCCTTAATGGTCCCCAGGGCTATATGCGACTAAAATCTCACACCCCAGAAGTGACTCGAACCTATACTGCCAGGAGCAACGCAATTCGTATCTACAGGACGCCTTAATCCGCTTGACCATCATGACAGGACAAAAGGAAGTGATAGCCGAAGCTATTTGAACCACTTCCCCGCCGGCACTCGGATGGTAATCTTGGGCATAGCATTTTATCAAATCACCTCATTCTTTGGGGCACACGTGAGGAACACAAATGCGAACAAGCCTGAATGGTCCCCAGGACTATATGCGACTGAAAACTCACCCCAGAAGTGACTCGAACCCATACTGCCAGGAGCAACGCAACTGGTATATACAAGACGCCTTAATAGACGATCATTGGTGCGGTGGTCACGGTACTGTGTACGTTTAGGGTGATCCTGGAGGGCATGGGTTCGAATCCTGGCCGGGTCAAAGAGTTCTTAGTGATATATATATATATATATATATATATATATATATATATATATATATATATATATATATATATATATATATATATATATATATATATATATATATATATATATATATATATATATATATATATATATATATATATATATATATATATATATATATATATATATATATATATATATATATATATATATATATATATATATATATATATATATATATATATATATATATATATATATATATATATATATATATATATATATATATATATATATATATATATATATATATATATCCGAGGAAATAGCCTCGGCTACCATCCCCTTTTGTCTGGGCGTGTTGGTCGAGTGGTTAAGGGATCCTGTACATAAGTTGCATTGCTTCTGGTAGTATGGGTTCGAGTCACTTTTGGGGTGTGAGTTTCCAGTGATATACATATATATATATATATATATATATATATATATATATATATATATATATATATATATATATATATATATATATATATATATATATATATATTTATATATATATATATATATATATATATATATATATATATATATATTTATATATTTCTTCATTTCGACTGAGAATCTACTAGAAGCCATCAAAGCAACATCGGTTGGAACCTTGCAGCACATCCCCAAAGCTGCCCGGCCCCAGGCAGCAGCGAAACTATCCAGCCTCTTGAAAGAGGTCAATGACTCCCCCGGAACTATCCAAGCATGGCGCAACCTTCTCCTGTTTGGAAACATATGCCTAGCTGTCCCTGCAAGGAGAGACAAATCATTAGCTTCGTCGGTCATTATGGTTATAAACAGTTTTCCTAGAGAGGACAACCAGGCACCCCTCCCCACCCGTGCCAAAAACACACATGGCAGGAAAGGTATCAACAGCAGAACCGAGGCATCCAAAATCAGAGCAACAGTCAGCAAGAAAATAGAAGAAGGCAACACAATAGGGGCGATCAGAGTCATCACCAGTGAAGACACAGTTGCCACCAGGGATGCCCATACAGCACAAGCCCTGAGGGAAAAACACCCACCCAGAGCTCCTCGTGACGACAGTGTTCCCCTAGTCGGTGTCACCAGAGCAGAACCCCTGTGTGTGCTCGAATCCATGGTACATAAAGCAGCTTTATCCTTCCCACCAGGATCAGCAGGTGGGTTCACAGGACTAAGACCCAACCACATCAAACAAATGCTTAACCCTGCACTAGGAGACATTGCACAGGGCCTCCTGGTGGAACTAACTAGATTCGCCAACACATGTCTAGCTGGCAACATACCAGAGACCATACGGCCTCTCTTTTTTGGCGCTACCCTCTGTGCCATGAGGAAAAAAGATGGAGGAATCAGACCGATAGCTGTGGGCAATTCACTCCGGCGTCTCGTCGCTAAGGCTGCTGCTAGAGCAGCCTTAGTCAGGCAGCAGCTGACATGCTGAAGCCAAAACAGCTTGGGTTTGGCATTCCCCAAGGGTGTGAGGCAGCGGTTCATGCAGCTAGAGCCTACATTGCCAACATTACGAATGAAAAAGCCCTGATAAAGCTGGACTTCAAAAATGCTTTCAATCTGGTTAGAAGGGATGCAGTACTCAGTGCATTTCAACGCCTTTTTCCTTCCCTCTACCCGTTTGTAAACTCATGCTACAGCAAGACTCTAACTCTGCTTTTTGGGGAACATGAAATTGAATCACAAGAAGGTGTCCAACAAGGTGACCCCCTTGCTCCTTTTCTTTTCTGTCTAGTTATCAAGGAAGTCACCGATAACCTGTCCAATGAGCTCAACATTTGGTTTTTGGATGATGGTACTCTAGCTGGCTCCCCAGCCTCACTCTTGGACGACATAAGAATAATTCAGGAGCAAGGAGCAAGCCTAGGCCTCACCCTGAACCCTTCCAAATGCGAAATAACCTCCACCAACCAGCACATAATAGAGCAAATAAAGGTTGTTTTGCCTGACATTCATTCAACCAACCCTGAGGACAGCACACTCCTAGGTGCTCCTCTTGGAAGGAATGCCATCGACGGGGTCCTTGGTAAGAAGATCACTGACCTGAAGAGGATGAACGAGAGGATTGAAGACATCGATGCTCATGATGCACTTTACCTCATCACCAGATGCTTGTCCCTCCCCAGGCTCACCTACTTTCTAAGATGTTCGCCATCTTTCAACAATATTAAATTAGAAGAGTACGACAGCTTGCTGAAATCAACACTAGAAAAAGCCCTCAATCTTTCTCTCAGCGACTTACAGTGGAAACAGGCCTCCCTTCCTGTTAGACTCGGGGGGCCTTGGCGTGCACACAGCAACACAAATTGCTGTACCAGCGTTCCTGTCCTCTTCAGTGGGGTCTGACAACTTGGTGAAGGAAATCCTAGCTGAGCACCTAGTTCAACAGGCAGGGGTACATGATCCCACCTTTACAGACTGCACAACCAAATGGGTCTCTCTCGCAGGACCAGCACCCCACCCACCTCCTTCTGAAGCCCATAAGCAATCCAGCTGGGATCGCCCCATTGCCGACCAAGAAGTTGCGACTTTGCTAGAAGCTGCGACAACACCACATGACACTGCCCGACTTAGAGCTGTAGCAGCTCCACATGCAGGTTATTTCCTATTAGCAACCCCAATGTCAGCAACCGGCACCCGTCTCTCACCGCAGGCCCCCCCGAATTGCCATTGCTCTCCGCCTCGCTGCCCCAATCCACACCTAATACAGGTGTATTTGCGGCGAGGGGGAGGCCGACAGATACGGACGGCATGGCCTTCTCTGCCAAAGGACAGGAGGATGGCATGCAAGACACAGCGAGGTCAATGACATTATTAAGAGAAGCCTTACAACAGCCGGTTGTCCAGCAGAGAGAGAGCCCCGTTACCTAATGTCCCGCAACTCTGACGAGCCTGTCGGTCGCCCAGACGGAATCACGGTGAACCCCTGGAAGAATGGTAGACAGTTGGTGTGGGACTACACTTGCGTTTCAACTTTAGCCAATACCTATGTTGACTTCAGTGCTACACAAGCAGGAGGAGCTGCCATTCACCGGGAAGCGGCCAAGTCACGTAAATATAGAGACCTTGAGCACCACTACAATTTTGTCCCCATTGCCTCAGAGACACTTGGTGCCTGGGGTAAAAGTGCTGCTAGCTTTTTGAAGGAGTTGGGGTCTAAGCTAATCGAAACAACTAGAGACCCTGGAGCTGGCAGTTTACTTTTTCAGCGCCTTAGTGTGGCAATTCAGAGAGGAAATGCTCACTGCATCCATGGTTCCTGCCCGCCATCTGAGGAGCTGGAGGAGCTGTTCAACTTGTGACAAGCAGCCTTGTACCCTGCATGAAATCAATATTGTAACTTTTTTTGTGTAATGACATTTTCAAATAAAGTAAGATAAATATACATACATACCAAAAGAATAGGGGTGGTAGGAGAAGAAAATATCAAAGTGTTCAGTGAGGATCCACAAGGTCTTCTCTGAGTACTCTTTATTTTCTTATCCGAGGCTATGGGTCCCTACACCTGCACCAGAGGTGGTACCCTTTATACATATATATATATATATATATATATATATATATATATATATATATATATATATATATATATATATATATATATATATATATATATATATATGTCGTACCTTGTAGCCAGAACGCACTTCTGATATCAGAAGTGTGTTATATATATATATATATATATATATATATATATATATATATATATATATATATATATATATATATATATATATATATATATATATATATATATATATATATATATATATATATATATATATATGTGTGTGTATATCACGAAAATAAACACGTGATTAAGAATGTGACAATGTCAGACCACGGAGGAAAATGAAACAGGAATTTCCTTAAGGAAATTCCTGTTTCATTTTCCTCCATGGTCTGACATTGTCATATATATATATATATATATATATATATATATATATATATATATATATATATATATATATATATATATATATATATATATATATATATATATATATATATGTCGTACCTAGTAGCCAGAACGCACTTCTCAGCCTACTATGCAAGGC